TTTACATCAGTTGACTATGCTTGTATTAGAAGGACAAAGAGAATGATTTAAAATGCAATACAACCAATCTACATTACCCAAATGCTTCTTTTATGATCTTGAAATAATTGCAGGCCTGTTTAACTTATAATACATCGTCATTCTGGTAAAAATTAAATCGCTCATGACGGAGTTTTTGAAAAACTCCAAAGATGCATATTTTCAATAATTCGAATTTACATTTCCCCAGTCAACGTACTATGCAACCCCATTATTACTGAAGATGCAGAGTTTGGGGTAAAAGCTGTTAAAGCCATTTTCACTTGTCTACAGGTGCTTATGTACTTATACATAGACATGATTCCGAGGCGTCTTCAAGAGGCCTATGAATGTATGTACTGAATATTTTTTATTTTACACAATTGATCTGTTGAAACAGGCATATTTACCCATTTGAAATTAATGAGACGTAAATACAATTGGGGTGGATGTAGTGATGTTTATAGTGTGACGTCATTGTGAGTTTAATAGTTTTCCGCAATTGACAATCTCTTTTCTGAATGAGGGATCGTGGTTAAGAAGATGATTGTTGTGTATGTTATAAATACATCTATTTCTGAAAAGGCATCTAAGTGATTTGCAGGCCATCAAGCTTCTCGCAATATTGCGATAACATGGCGAATCTGGGCATAGTTTATGCAAGAATCTCTTCTGCAAAATTAATTATAAGGGACTAGTCGTGGGTTTGGGTTTTTAAAACCGCCCAGGAACTTGCATTTCTATCAGAGGAGGAATGTAATACCTCTCTGAAGAGTTTAGTAAAAAAACGTCCAGATGTATGGAAAAGCACCATTTGATGACTTGAGTTTTAAAACTAAAGAAATGTTCTTTTGGGGGGGGGGCAGATATTTTATCTAAATGCTAATGTCGTATTTGATGCATAAGTGCACTTTTATATGATGCAAGAGAACAGGTCATTCTATCACGCTTGTCCGCCGATCTTTTCTTAACAAACTCGGTGGTCAGCTAAGACCTAATACGCGATCTCAATTAATGTCAATATATTTTAGCATTGGTTCTCCATATTCATGATATACTGGTCGGGCCAATTAAGTTATTTCTCATTCAGTTCAAATTATTCCTCATCCAATGCCAAATTAGTATCTGATTTGAACTCACTCTAATTATTGCCTCTCGAATGGGCATTCATTTTTTAAATATTATAACCAATGTTCACTCTCAATTTTTAAGTTTTCACTTCTGAAATTAAAAGAAATAATGCGTAGGAGAGGATTATTATGCTCCCTTAGATGTTGGAGAGATCAAAACGAGTGAAATTGGTTAAAATTTTCTTCTTCAGTTTGATAACTTTGTGGAAAGTTATTGACAATAGGTTGTGGGGAACGATGGGACCGGGGTTCAATGGGACATGCTCCACTTCGCACAACTCGATAGTGTTTTATCTAAACGCTTAGAGGCCTAGAAATTCGTTATGTTCAGTGTTGTATTAGGTTTTCTTCCGGCTCATGGCCCAATTCAAAATATATTCTAGATTAAAAAAATATTTTTACTAGCTATTCAAAAGAGTAAATTATTTGCTTTTGGTCGAAATTGGACGTTTTACTTGTTAATATATAAATGTGGATTTTGTTGTTTTATTGAACACAGTGAACATTACATTACATTACACAGTGAACATTACTTTCGGTTTTTTATCCGATGTTTATGGCCTCTTTAAGAAAGTACTGTTATTATCGAGCATGAAAGTTACAGAACTCAGTTTCAATTGAAATTAGGCATAAACCAAAAGTAAAACGATAAATTGATTCCAGATTTAATCATAAGAATCTAAAATATTCAAGAGTAATTCTACCATGACTCTTCGGATACGCTTATCTCCAAAGTAGTTTTTCGTTATCGATCTGTTTAATTTAAGGATATTTTTGAAAGAAGATCCAAAATTTTCAGTTGAACATTAATTTTAAATTAATAAATCTCAAAATTTGGAGTCCCACAGTTCGTTAGATGATGATGCTGACTCGTTGCTATTTTTAACGGCATATATATATACATATATTCCGTTGAAATCAATAAAAGGCCCTATTGTGTATCAGGGTGTATTCAAACGCATCCCGCCAACGCAGTGGAACTGAAGAGGGATGTTCAGCCAACACATTTTTCATGTTATCGAAGATGAGCTGATGTAGGGTATTATAATATCCTAGACTGGTGTCCATCGTACATTTATCAAGATCTACGCGCAGCGGCAGTTCTATGTTTTATATTTCCCACCAAGCGTTAATTTGATTAGTTTGAGGACAGTTTGTTGCCAATAGAAAAAGCATAGTTTACTGAAGAGAGATTTCCAGCCAGCATATTTCTAGTGTTATCAACAACAAGCTGTCGTGGGACATTATAGATCGGTACCTATTGTATAGTTATTTGTGCATCATCTTAATGGCTGTATTTGTATATTGAGTTGGCTATATATGCATATGACTTGGCAGTATATGTAAATTTGCTTGGCTGTATATGTATGAGTTGGCGATATATGCATATTCTTGGCAGTATATGCCTGGCACGTTACCAAACCTATCGAAAGTTTATAAGAAAAACCACCCTAGTCTTCAATCTATCAGCAAACGAAATGGCAACTAATAAACGTTCGGTTTACATAGATTAAAACCAAAATTATGTGCGAAGAAGTAATATATACTATCGTATGTCAGAAACTGAATATTTTTTTGAATCGCACTATTCGCCCCTCTAATAACCAGGGACGAGACGGGTCTCCAATATACGAATATTTCACATAATAATGGCATCCTGGCCGAGGAAAAGTACCTCAACATTCACAACAATGACAAACCAGAAATCTCATATATATATATATCAAAGAATAAGGATTTATCTAAATCAAATTGTTTTTTACCTGTTTTATTTGAAATGGCTGTTTTATTGATCTCATTTGTATAAATAGGTTAAAAAATGGATGTAAAAATTGCCTGATCGAGTCTTATCGTCAATAGATACCCTTCGCCTAAAAGTGTCGATAATTTATCCCTGAACGCCCTTCTCAGGATCTAGCCATGCAATCAGTATTACAGTATCGCGAATAGTGACTGAATAAGTTGTATGCACATAAGAGGTAAATATCTTTCTACAACAGTACAAAGCTTTGTTTAAATACGGATGCACCCGTCTATAGGAGTACAGTTACTCACTCTTTCTCTGATGTGTACGTGGAAAATGTCCTCTTTTTCGTCGTGGGGTTTGGATGTTAAAAATTATCTTTGGAATATGATTATACTTGTGAATCATGAACATTAGCGACTATTTTTTAAGCTATCCAGGCGAAGTGCAACTGCTCACTAGCGTAACTCGGGTAGGTATAGTAAATACTAACAAGATCAGTTCAATATTAGGCGCAAAGATTTTACATCAGTTGACTATGCTTGTTTTAGAAGGACAAAGAGAATGATTTAAAATGCAATACAACCAATCTACATTACCCAAATGCTTCTTTTATGATCTTGAAATAATTGCAGGCCTGTTTAACTTATAATACATCGTCATTCTGGTAAAAATTAAATCGCTCATGACGGAGTTTTTGAAAAACTCCAAAGATGCATATTTTCAATAATTCGAATTTACATTTCCCCAGTCAACGTATTATGCAACCCCATTATTACTGAAGATGCAGAGTTTGGGGTAAAAGCTGTTAAAGCCATTTTCACTTGTCTACAGGTGCTTATGTACTTATACATAGACATGATTCCGAGGCGTCTTCAAGAGGCCTATGAATGTATGTACTGAATATTTTTTATTTTACACAATTGATCTGTTGAAACAGGCATATTTACCCATTTGAAATTAATGAGACGTAAATACAATTGGGGTGGATGTAGTGATGTTTATAGTGTGACGCCATTGTGAGTTTAATAGTTTTCCGCAATTGACAATCTCTTTTCTGAATGAGGGATCGTGGTTAAGAAGATGATTGTTGTGTATGTTATAAATACATCTATTTCTGAAAAGGCATCTAAGTGATTTGCAGGCCATCAAGCTTCTCGCAATATTGCGATAACATGGCGAATCTGGGCATAGTTTATGCAAGAATCTCTTCTGCAAAATTAATTATAAAGGACTAGTCGTGGGTTTGGGTTTTTAAAACCGCCCAGGAACTTGCATTTCTATCAGAGGAGGAATGTAATACCTCTCTGAAGAGTTTAGTAAAAAAACGTCCAGATGTATGGAAAAGCACCATTTGATGACTTGAGTTTTAAAACTAAAGAAATGTTCTTTTCTACATCTATATTACGTTTTGTTTTTATTTTGAAACTTATTTTGAATTTTTGTTTTTATTTTCTGTTTCAAAAAGAAAGGCATGCACCATTCCTAGGTGAGCACCGCTGGTACCAAATGCATCAATATTGCCTCTAAAATCGAATTCTGTGAGAATTATGATCTGGCACAAACATGATTTTGAGTGAATACAGATTTGCGGAACTTCTTTTTCAAGTAACTTACGCAATGGTGTTTAGCAGCTTAACACCTTTTATATAATTTAGACTTTCTGAATTTCATGTTAGAATTCTTAGGCAAACTGATTTGTACTTAAAATTTGTTCAATATATTCTGGTTGTCAGAAATGGAAGAGTTTTAGATATCTTCTACAGCTTAGAATTAGAGATTAATTTAAAAATTCGAGTAGGAGTTACAAAATGATAAAAACTATATCAATTTTGACAAAGTCATTAAATGAGAATTTCCAAATGCGCGAAACAGTGTAATTATCGTACCAGGTAAAGAATACCTGCCAGAAATGACCGCATAACAAATAACACAGTGAAGCACACAGTCTTATAGGATAGATTTGAATTAGTTTGTGTGAATCAGGTTTTTACCATTTGTTAGAAATTTGTCAGCATTGCTCGAGATTTTAAAAATTGCGCCAATTTGCCTCATGCCATCAGAACAAAATCGAAATAAACAAGAACCAAATTGTGTGAATATTTGAGAAATTTATTGAAAGAAACCACAGTGAAGAAATTGAAAAAATGTTGAAATATATCAATATCAATGTAAATTTTGTCCCAATACCGGTACCCAGAATAAAAAGAAATGCATTACAATCTGTGTACAGTGTATTTTCGCTGTGTAAAAAAGTATGATTGAAAATAATCCAGCCGTACCTTTAAGAGTTTTAGCATTGCACTATCGAGTTATGATTATGAAAACTCAGCAAACCAGCATATCGCAAAAAAACTGCAACAGCTCAACTTTCGACTTTGCCCAACAACATAGAGCAAGTCACAAAGCTGATTAAGTAAATTTATCAATATCTTCAGATCTATTAATCCAAGTTCCCATTCCATTCGCAGAAAAATAATGATGAAGGAGTGTTTTACTCTGCATGTAACTGCTGCTGGCAATCTAAAATTTTCAAACATATTTTGACATGTTTGTGTAGTTCTCAAACATAAGGAAAATCACTCAAAAATGAGACAAAGTCTTTTTTTGGAGATGGATCGGATAGGATTTACATATTTAATCCAGGGGAGAGGAAAGCCGATAAGACATTTAATCATATGACAAACCACTGCCTCTCGTCGGGTTACCAGTACAAGTCAGGTATGGGATTTGTTAGCCAGTTATTTATTTTCGGAAGCATGAACTTGATGGTAGAGGAAGCCATAAACGACCAGGGGTTACGTAAACCACCCTACAGTGGCAAGAACTTGATGGTGGAGGAAGCCGTAAACGACCAGGGGTTACGTAAACCACCCTACAGTGGCAAGGAGTCCAGCAATCCTCTCGCACATAACTATCCCCGCATTGGATTCAAACCCCAAGCAGGGTAATCAGAGGTGTGGTGGCGAGTGTATTCCTAACGCTTAGCACATTGCGCCACACCGGCAAGCCGATGCATGGAATCAGTTGAAAAACAACTCTTTACGTATGGGTGAAACAGACAAAACTCTCACAACAAATAAACATGAATATCACACCAAATAATAAAGTTTGAAAATCAATGACTTCTATCAAAATAATTAATGTAGCAAGTATAATATTTACCTTTGAATTCCTATAGGTCCTTTCTTGAAGAAGGTCAAATCTTCCCATCTTCTCAGCCACATTACGAAATATTTGAAACAATGATGCTTTACATAGCCTACTTCTTTCTGCAAAGAAAAATCATATGTACAAATACTTTACATCTCTTGGAAATAAGTAAAATTCTGCATTACTACTGATACTAATTGTCACAAACAAGTGGTCATTCAATTTTGTCTTACAGTTGTTTTGTAATGCGCTTTTTGGTGCTGTAAAAATAGATCACTCACCAGAAATGCATTTGTGTGGTGAGCAAAATGATATTTCACCACTAGATCCTTCTATAATTTCTACATTTTCCTGTTTATCATACCAATTCACACTCAACGTTCTGGTCTCAAAAGGTATCTGATCATTATACTCCTGAAATTTTCACACATGTTAATATTTGAGTTAACTGGGAATTAGTTGTTAGCTATTCAATATAATTTGAAAACTTGCATTTTCAGCCATATTAGTCGCACAGTAAGACCAATACATCATCATATTCATAAATATTACTTCAGAATGTAATTGTAAAAGGTTATTCAGGTTTGGTCATTCCTGTTGAGATGATTCAATTTATTATATATTTCCTACCTTCATTAGAAATTTGCGAGTTTCTGGTTCGAAGTAACGAAACCCTTCAGGTAAATCTTGATTTATACTGTCATCAGCCATAGCAAAACATGTAGAAATATTAGGAACATGTCGTTTTGAATGATATCCCACGGTGCAAGAGCTGAGGATATTTATAAGTTAGTGCAAAAATAGATTGAGAAAGCAAACAGTCGTTATAAAAAAAGATCAAATGGAATAAACTTGCATTGAATATTAACGAAGAAAAATTACAGTCAACAAGGCATTCATTAAAGGGTATCAGTTTTTTCATTTGACAAGTTTACTTGATAAAATCTGACCCATATGAAAATTGACAATGAATTAAAAATTTACATATAACAAAAAACTTTTTATGTCAAAAAGATCATTCAGATTCCAACATTTTTGAAGACTTCTGTAATCCGATATCTCAAACACTGTTATCAAAAGAAATAATCTGCAATGTTGTTGAATTCGCCAACAGCTTCGATGCACCGCTTGTTGACAACACTACAGAATTTGCAATATTTATAATGATAGAATATCAAAGAAATTTGATATATTGATATACAAATACATGCTCAAGAGCGTTTTTTTTGTCGAAAAATATCAACATTTATATATTTATAAAAAAAATTTTCCAATACAGACCTCATGTAAATTGGTGCAATGAAATGTGACAACAAAGCGCCTTGCCACCCAATAACAGACCACTGAAGCAATTTACTGTCATCAGTCATCACAACGTTTCTATTCTTGCAAATCATCATGTATTTTTTCGCGACGGAAGTTGACATGAATGTATCACCTGAATAAAAACAATGTGACGTGTTCAAAATGAAAACATATTATACTCAAGTCAGTTTATATTAGCATACCTCCTTCAGAATAAACATGTAGTCCAGTTTTCTTCACCAGAAGAATATCTAAATTTAAGTTTAATGGTAAATTAATTCAATTCAGTCATGAAAAAACTTCAAATTTCATAACGTACGCCGTACGGTATGTTACCTGCCTGGTGACCGGGACATGAAAATATGAAATTTTACATTTTCTTTCAAATGAAGCAGATCATGTTTCTTCGATTTCTATACAAAAAATGAGTTAGAGAAATTAATGTCTAGAACAGTGATTCCCAACCTTTTAGGGCTCGTAGCCCCCTTCTGGAGGGTTTTAGCACTCATGGCCCCCCTGTTTATCAATCTTCTGATTAAAATCAAATGATACCCAAAAGTTCTCTTTGTCATGTGAAATCTCCCTGAAGTAAAATCGATTAAACCAGTGTTTCCCAACCCAAGAAAAATTCTTTCAAGATGAGGAATTTTATGGTCCATTTGTGTGTGGTATTACTGTTATTCTTTACTTTTTAACTATTATTGTAATAGTATGATGTATGCATTATGAAATTTTAATAAAAGAGTGCAAGTTGTTCAGACCCACAGCTAATGATCCATCAATGGTTAAACCTCCAAACGCAAAAAATGAATTTTTATGTTTACCAGTGGTAAGGGGCATAAGCCAGGAATTTTCACAGGGAGGGGGGTCTGCAATTTCTAATTGCCAAGTTAAACCTTAATAGTCAGGCAGGAAGCTGGAAAACGTGGGTTTCAAAAGGGTCTAAAAAGGTTTCAAGCTACGAAAAATTACAATGTATGATACAGAAAATTGCTTTTCTTCACATTTCAAAAAGAGTGTTCACTAAATTAAAACATATAAGATGTCACTTACTGTGAAAATGCAATTTTCTGAAAGCTGTTCATTATGGAATTTATGAACTTCCTCAAAGAGAAACACTTTTAATGCTCTCCTAACAATTGTCACAGAATGAGAATCGAAAATCAAATTATGTTGCAATGTACTCTGCTGATTTTGTGATAGACAAGAGTTTCCTGTACCAATTGCTACAATCTATAAAATAAATAATAGTATTCAATGGTATGGCATTTAGTGCAGAATACCCTTTACCATAGGCAAGCAATTCTATTTACGGTAGTTCATTCTAGTAATTCCCACAAATAGCAAGTTCAATTCTATTAAAACAAAAATGGAATATCCGCAGTACTTATAGGCCATCATATTTGTTGATGAAAGGGGAAAGTAAATCGAGAAGCTTAAATACTTTCTAGCAATAACAATAATCATTAGCCTCATTATTGAGTCTATGCTAACCTGTTTCTTGCCATTAATTTCCAGAATTACAGATGCGATGCTGACACCCAATGAAGAATAAAGAACAGCAGGTACATTTTTCAACAAATCTTTCAGAATATGTGATGTCATATCCCAGATTTGAATATCGCATTCATTGGGAGAATCCATGATGGCATGAATAGTTTACGTTATTCTAATAAAGCATAATTAAACTTCTGAATTACGAAATAAAATAAAAGTATACTTATTCAGTAGGCTCGTTCTTAACAACTTCAAATATTGAATGAGGTAACTTAAATCGGTACGTATCTCAATATTGGAAATTCGAAGCAATTATATAAACATGGATTCGAGAAATACAACAAAAATCACATGACAGTGATATATATACAAGTACGATTAAATACTATTAATCTCTATGAACTTGCTAAAATACTGAAGTGACAGATATTGTTTTTTACACACAAATGACCCAATAGTTTAGTATTCCATTTTAAATATCAGTATATATAACCTATAGCAAGGCTCTTTGAAGTGAGGGTCCCACCTCCCAATGGATCGCGATAAGGGCTTGATGGGGTGTTGCGGTAAAATCTTTCACGACAACTTATGTTAAAACAAAACATCGATCAAATTTCAAAGAATTAAAACCAGTAATGAGATTCACCATCACTGAAATAAAGTTAAAATTCAATCTTTTTGCAAGAATATAATATGCAAGCAATTGGTCCCATTGAAGGTATTGTCAATTTTAATATTTTTTTAACTAAACATTTTAGTATTATTAAATTTTTTTTATTTTAGTTCCTGAGGGTCGCAAAAAAATTTGTGGGTTGGGATGAAAAACTCTGGAAAAGAATCTCTGATCTATAAGATATTTACCGTAATCAGGGATTACAATCTCAGATAGCCTACTGCAGGGCTACTCAACTGGCGGACCGCGGTCCAAATCCGGACCTTCCGAGTATTAGATTCGGACCGCGCCTAATTCTTTTTTTTGTCCCCACTTTTTAAGTTTTCTTTTATAAATTGACTTTTAGAGTTTTTAATATATATGAAAAGAACACCATAATAAACAATGTTGATTTGCTAATAATCATTAGTCGGCCGAGGAAACGCGTCTATAAAGATGCCGAAATATGATTACTGAAAAGACCGGACCCAAATGATTTAGAAATTTTGTATGCGATTCTATGGTAAAAATAGTTGAGTCGCCCTGGCCTACTGTATAACATTCCAAAATTGCAAAAGAGTGACAAGGTGAATAGAGCAAAATGAATAAGTACGTGTTCATACAATCCGCTAACAATGTAATCTCATTTTGAATGGTGCAGTGTGCAGTAAAAGGAAAATATAATAAGCGAACCATTCATCTTAACAGTCTTGGCGTGAAAAATTACCATATTTATCAGAGGTATATGCTTCATATATCACAAAGATCAGGGAGGGAGCAACAGAAGGGAATATTTTACCATTATAGTGACTATAATAAGACATATTCTAGTGGAAGCTATATAGAATGAAATACTGCTCTTTTGTTATCATCAATATGATTGCAGTTAAACAAATACAGCCTGGAATATGATTATGTACAGCGATACCTCGATAGTCTAACATATTTCGTTTAGGATTGGTTTTAATTAACCACCGATTTGTTCGAGTATAGTAACATTTTTTGCCAAAGAACAGCAATAATTATTCAAATGTGTACATAACATAAGATCAAACGTAATAAAGATAAAAGTATAAAACGTTTTTATCAGTTACCGTGCATCTGAGCAAATTTTTGTGGCCTCTATAGGATTCGTTTTTTGTTTGCGATATTGTAATAGGAAATCGCGCACCTTAGAGGTTCCGCTTTCGCGCTAGTTGCGCAGATTGCCGACTCTAATGTGAGTCTGTGACAAATTGGTCGACTACCGAATTGTTCGAGTATCAAGCTGTTCCTCTACAAAGGTATCACTGTACTTTAATTTGGACCCAGCCATTATTTATTGCCCAGGAAAGTCTGTAAGTGATAAATGTCCACTAGAGGTAAAATACATTTTAGGTTCACAAAGAAGATAATTGTACTTGAATAAAAAACACTGCATAGATTTTATAGCAGAAAGTGAATTAGCAAGCATTTTACAATTGGAAAAATAGGTCACAAAGACAAAATTATTGGATTAATGGCAATAACATTTTCAATAATTGAATGTGTTGTTTCCATTTAAATCTGAGTGTTCATAATTTTAGCTATCAAAAGTATCGTTTAATGAAAAATGTAACAAAAGCAACCCATCTAGGTACATTATACCGTGGCTGTTGAAAAGTTTCAGATGTAATTTTTCTTGTATGCTTCATTAAATAATTTTGTTCATCATGGAGTCTTTGTTGAAGCTTGGGATTTTTTGTGACAACAACTACTTGTGCTTCCAAGTCTCTGCTAACAGATCGTAAACCAAAATTAGGGGAACCAATTAATGACATACTTGGAAGTTTTTCCCCAGGTAGGTAACAGAACATACCTTTCCCATGAAATGTCCACCCATCACGTATATATTCCCATAGAGAAATATCTTCTTTTCTATTATATGCAGCAACCTTTTTTGAGAATTTTTTGCACAAATGAATGTACACAGCTGGTATATATCCTGAAAATCCTTTACTACCAAAGAAACCATTTGCCTCGGGAGATGACAGCAAAATGTTGTAATTAGCAGCGTTATTTACTACCTCGTAACAATATTTATCAGTCACATTGAAATAACCAGTCGTGAAAGACACTGTACTTCCTTTAGGAAACGTTTTCATGAGAGTTTCTGTAACAACTTCATCCTGACGAATACCAAAAAGACCCATCTGTATTGTGGGATAAACCCATGTATCAAATTTACAATTGGTATTCTGCTTGTCCCTTGTAGTTTGTGAGATAAAATTTTGGGTCATCTCATGAGTGCTAATCTGTGAAGATTCATAATTCTCTACAATAGACTTACCAAATCCCAATAGCGACAATGCAGCATTGCTGATGGACGTAAGAAATGATGTGGAATATTGAAAAAAGTTGCTTAACCCCAATTTTGTCTTCGATATTATTCCTTCTTGAAACAACTTTACATTAGTAAGTGCATTTTGTGCAAGATGTCTTTTAATCAACGCCATTACACTCTCTTGAGCCGCTTTTTTGAATGCATTTTCATCTCCCTCAAAAGGATGATGATCGCCATTATAAATTAATTTCTGATTTGTGTCAGAGACTAGTTGGAAAGAAAACATGCCAACTGTGTTTACCAACTGGTGAAAGTAATCAGCAAGTTGGCCGCAATCATGAAACACCATATAACGATCTTGTCTATTCACAAAGTAGTCATTGCTCAAGTTAGCTCCACTTATTATAAATGTGTCATCGAAAATAAACACTTTCAAATGGGCAACTCCAATTACTTCATTCCATCGGGCTGGTAAATATTTTTTCAACAAACCTCTTAATTTTGGAGTGTGATATAGTGAGATTGTCAATTTATCTGATCCATTGTATTGGTCAATTAATGGTTTTAGCATTGTTTTTGAATTATTTTCTCCCCTTGATCCACGAACATAGTCAAGTAAGATGTCAACTTTTACATTATTATCAGTCTTTTTTGCAGCATCAATCACAGAACCAACAAGATCTTCTTCCAAGCCACCATTTCCCAAATAAAGAGCAGCAAGCACAACTCTTTTTTGAGCATTTTTTGCTTCACTTTTCAATCTCTGGTAGAAGTCTGTGGGAGTTTCTAAGATTTCGATATTTTCTCCTTTAACACAAAATTCTGGTGCATACCTACTCAACCACGAAAATTCATGACCCACTTTTGTTCCCATCTCTGTATTTTTAGGACGATTCATGCAGCATGTCAAGACACATAAGTAAGTTAAGCAAATAACTCCAGGGTACTGGTACACTTGACCTTGAACAAAAAAACATACAAATTTAGACGATAAAAAAACAGAAAAACTAAAACAAAAATGGGGTCTGGTATAGTTTAGTACCGTCTAGTTTAGTACCACAAGTACTTCCAGTGGGGCGTGGCGTAGCATAACTCGCTAACGCCGGCGATCTCTCTCCTATCGTGATCGTTGTGTCGACAAAACGAGAGAAATAACTTGCTCGAATTCGGGTGTTCGTCTGCGCGTTTTGAACGACCATCCGCATATTTTGGTGGGCCCAGGTGGGCCTTATTACGCCACTGTGACTTCGAAATGACGTAGAGGTCTAATTTTCCAGTGACTTGGTCAGATGGGGTTAGGATTGACATATGCAAAAATTGTTGAGCCAGGATAACTAGAAGTGCATGTGGTACTACACCATACCAGACCCGGGGACTGAATGTATGCACAAGACATGAAAGACCATAGTGGCCTAAAACCCCAAAAAGGTGGGGTCTCGTGTATATCGTAGCTAACATAGGCCTACTTCTAGTGGGCATAGCATAACGTTTTTTGCATTTTGCACGTGTCCTAACGCCACAATCACGCCATAGAGCTTGCCAAAGTATACCTAAGATTGCTGGAAATGGTACCTGTTACCGGTATCTGCCAGTCTGCGCCGACGATATAGAGCTCACTAACGGCAGCGATCTCTCTCATATCGTGATCGTTGTGAGAAATAGCTTGCTCGATTTCGGGTGCGCGTCTTGCGCGACATATGACACATTAGGTGGGGGTTAGGGATAATCAGTCAGTAATCAATAACTTATTATTTCACCATGCTGAAAATACAAATACCACATACACAATTTTAAAGAAAATATAAAAAAAAATCGCATTTCAGGGTGAAAAAAGACGCCGAAAACCAAAACTGGTTATCGAGCGGCGGCATCTTTGAGAAAGTCTAACAAAACGTGATAAATACAATAAAGTCGAACGAAATATGCTATTTAATAGGTAAAATAAAAAAGCATTAGGTACGTCAAGGCGACCTAGTATAACATATGCAAAATTCTATGCTCATTGCTCACCAGAAGTACTTGCAGACTTGTGGTACTACTAGAATCCTATTTTCACAATAAATTGAAAGAATTTAGAATATTATTGTTCCGTAGTTCAATAGCCTATTTGCCTATGAATTTTATCTTGTACCGGTATTATATTTTGACATTCAGTCGAAACAAAATTTGTAATTTATTTAATTTCATCATATGATAGTCTGGAACTAACAGGACTAAATAATGCTGCATCGTATTGAACAGAAAAAAATCTTAAGGATTGATTGGCCTACTTTGTCCATATTCAAACTGGCATACATTTAGTCGGACATGTCATTTAAAGGATAAGTTTCTCAACTCAATTATTTGGATTGAGTTGGGTTATTTGATCATTTTGCTATTCTATTGTAGCCATAGTGATCAACTAGAATTTCCCCTTGCGTTCTGTTTCCATATAGTTTTTTTTATTACTGGCTTAAACATGTTAGTAATCATACCAAGATGCATAATAATCTTCTGTCATTCTGGTGATACATTTTTACCACATAGTTCAAGCCTATCATCCACTGATATAGAGTATATATATATATATTTTTTCTCTCTATTTTCTTATATCGAATGTTTGTATGTATTGTTATTTCCCATCATCTAGTCCAGCGTTTCCAAAACTGTGTTCCGCGGAACACTAGTGTTCCGCGAACGTCTTCCGAGTGTTCCGTGGAGAAGGAATCAAAAATATCGTCATTGCAATCTAGGGATCGTGAAGTTGTCGCCAAACTGACCGTTCAATATCGCGTTATCGTCGGCCTAAAGCGGACTAACTGAGGTAGAGTAGTGGCATTTTCGTGACCATCGGCGTAGCTTTTAGACTGATAAGTTTACATAGACTTACCATACGTCCCGTTTTAGGCGGGACAGTCCCATTTTTTAACGTTTTGTCCCGGCGTCCCGACCGGTCAGTCAAAAGTCCCGCTTTGGCGTTCACCCAGTCAGCATGATACATAAACATTACCAATTAGCATGTTCTCGATACTGTTATTGCTGTGTGGCGTACCGGTGGTAGCATACTTTCTGAAGGTGGATGCGTGGTTTTGTTTGTTTCGTTGTTTTCCGCTAACATTATTAGCGGTTAAAATTTGTTACGTGTAAGCCCCACACGCCAAAAGGGCACTCAACGTAAAGTCCTTTCTATTTATTGAATTGAAACCGATTTTTAGACAGACACCACATGCACTCTCGATGACAATATAGTCACTGAAGACAGTCGGGATGGTTTTAAATGTGTGCCTAATGTAAAATCGGTAAATTTAAAGTTGAAGAAAAAAAAACAGCTATGGCCTTTGGAGGCGTCCCACTCTGAGATCACAAAAATATGGTAACCCCAAGTTTACAGCAATCCTTTTGGTTTTGTTATAAGCAAACAAGTAGGTCTGAAGAATAAAGGCAAAAGGTCAACTCTTCTTCCTCCGTCTCTGCCTGGTTTTACTATGAAATGCTGAAAAATTACTCATGTTCGCTAAATTCAATTCAGCAGATAAATAAACTGCAGCTCGCGAAATTGCAGCAAGTAGGCTACTTTTATCTCCATTAGAGGTAACATTGGAGGCAAACACTACGCGATGAAAAGTAAACGACACAGACAGGTAAAAAATGGTGAATTTATTGATTCATATACACAGATTTAAATTAGGAAACAATAAAACATTTATAATAAATGCAATATGTAAAATATTCAATCATATTTCAGGTATGTTTAACCGTAGTAGTATATATTTACGGTTTAACACAATTCTGTTAGTTTTCGCGGCGCATTTGGCAACTCGTCACGGCGAACCCATTGGGAACCGCTACATTACACCGTTTTTCTTTTCTGCAATTTTAGCTTTCCATTTTTGGTGTTCCGTGAGGCGAGATAAAAAGTCTAAGTGTTCCGTGGCCAAAAAAGTTTGGGAAACGCTGATCTAGTCTAAAGCATATAGAACTTTTATTGTGTGAATGAGTTCTCAGCAAAACATGGCCTCCACCAATAGTTTTCTGAGATTACATCGAATTTTTAAAAGTATTATTTGACAGACAAACTTTTCTAAAATTCATCTTCAATGTGAACCTTAATCACATCAGCAAATAGGGTGGGAGTTGGCCTCGATGATCTATCTCATAGTCGTATCGCTCCCTCCCGTCAATACCAAAGCAATTTTATTTGTGTTATGTATTTTTTTCGTATTGATGACTGTTTGTTTTTGGTTTAAATCTCTCTTTCTCTCTCTATTAAGCTCATGTAGTCGCGAACCAGTTCAATCAATCAATCATCAATCATTTATTTCGGTACTCTGACATAAAAACAAAACAGCACAAAAAGTAGACGAACAAACAAAATGCAGAGATACTTTAGTTAATGGATAGTGCGCACTCAAGTCTCACACGCTTGCCCGTTGCATGCTTGCCTATATGTGTAATACAAATTGTAGTGTTCATGGTCCGATGGTCATGAATTGCATGATTGATTTAGTCCTGCGCGATATAAATGCGCAAGGATACATGCCAAGGGGAGCAGAAGGACATTGACGGCGTGGCTGGTGCTGGTTCTATTGTATGGTGTTATTCGCTGTTTATTAAGTTGTATCAGTTACTTTTGTGCATACTGAATTGTAGCAGTAAAAGCCTCTTATTTTGTGTGCAAATATCGTGTGTTGCCTTGGGGAAAGCTTAGCAAGATAGATAACATTGAAGATAGAGGCGGGACACTACAACTGGCGACGAGGATATTGGAAGATATCGAATTACAATTGGCGAAGACCTGCTGGACTTGGACGATAAAGGAAATCGTTGGTAACTTTTTTGATTGAAACAGATCTATTCTATATAGCAGGAATATAGCCATCCAAGATCATGCAGAATAACATTGGAACGATGCAACCATTTGATTCCGATGGAGACCCGCACGGTATTTCCCAACGGTGGCAACGTTGGAGACGTTCATTTAAATTATATTTGACGGCCAAGGGAACGACGGAAGATAGCTCCAAGAAAGCTTTGCTTTTGTTCACCGCTGGTGTAAAGGTACAAGATATTTTTTATACTTTAGCGGGACTCGATGAAGAGAAAACATTTACCGAAACTTTAAATTTACTTGATGAATATTTTACTCCGAAATCCAATATTCCTTTTGAAAGACATTTATTCAGGCAAATTAAACAGGCCAGTGATGAAACGGTCGATCAGTTTGTTTGTAGGTTACGTCAAAGAGCAACAACATGTGGCTTCGATGATAAAGAAGATGATCACATACGGGACCAAGTGATTGATAATTGTCGGTCCAATTCCATGCGACGAAGATTTCTCGAAAAGGAAAATCTCGAATTAAGTGATTTGCTAAAAATTGCAAGGGCAATGGAAGCTGTTGATCATCAGGCAAAAGCAATTGAAGCTGACGCAGAATCGCACCAGGTGAATTTAGTAAATAATCCAAGCCGTTATACATCTGTTACAGGAAAGGAAAGGGAATGTTACTCTTGTGGCCGAATCGGACATTTTTCCAGAGATAAGATGTGCCCAGCAAGAGGTAAACGATGCTCAAAATGCGGAAGAATGGGACATTTCAAAGTTCGATGTGGTAAATTTCGAGGTAAACCTGCACGGCAACAAGGACATAATGAGCGATGCCGAAACCAACCGAGAATAAATAAAAACGGTAAGCGGTTGAATGATACGAATTGTGTTGATTGTTCGAATGACGAAAATAGTGAGTTTACATTCACCGTGAGAGATCACAATTCCTACCATGATGGAATAATTACTTTAAATGTGGGAGGAGTTAATTTGTCGAATGTAATAATTGATTCGGGTGCTTGCCGAAATTTCATGGGAAGCAATACTTGGGAATGGCTGAAGAGTGAGAGAATTGTGTGTAATTCGAGAAAATGCTCGATACCATCACTCTACGCTTATGGAAGTACTAAACCACTTCAGGTTTTAGGTACGTTTACTGCTAATGTTTTCGTTTTGAATAATGAAAGTAAATGTCGGACTGATTTTGTTGTTGTCAAAGGCAATTGTCAAACTTTGTTAGGAAAAGAAGCTGCAACAAAACTTAATGTATTAAGAGTGGGGCCCGTGAATGCAGTGAGTTCCAAAACTATTGATACTTCAAATTCTGATATATTTTCCAAGTATGGAAAATTGTTTGAAGGAATTGGCCTTTTAAAAGATTACAAATTGACTTTGAATATTGACAAAACTGTTAAACCAATTGCTCAACCTCTGCGCCGTATACCATATGCGTTGCGAGACAAAGTAGATGCAAAAATAGATGAAATGCTGAAAGCAGACATAATCGAAAAAGCGCCTGAAGGTCCAAGTACCTGGATTTCGCCTTTAACTGTAGATCATAAAAAGGATGGAGATATTAGAATTTGTGTTGACATGCGCCGAGCTAACCAAGCCATACTCCGTGAAAGGCAACCTATACCGACTGTTGAAGACTTACTCCACGACTTGAGCGGAAGTGCCGTATTTTCGAAGTTAGATCTGAAATGGGGGTTTCATCAAATATTGCTTGATGAGAAATGCCGATATATCACAACGTTCGTAACTAATAATGGAATTTTTAGATACAAAAGACTTATGTTTGGTTTATCATCTGCACCAGAAAAGTATCAGCAAATAATCAGAGACGTTGTGAGGAACTGTCGGGGTGTCGCAAACATAGCGGACGATATCATTATCCATGGGCGGAATGTGAAGGAACATGATGAAAGATTATTTGATGTTCTTGATAAGTTGGACAAAGCCGGTCTAACGCTGAATGGTATGAAATGTCAATTTCGACTTCCTGAGATCAAGTTTTTTGGTCATAAGCTCACAAGTCAAGGTATTGATCCTTGTGAGGAAAAGGTGGCGGCAGTAAGAAATGCACGACGACCAAAAGATACCAGAGAAGTGAAATCTTTTATGGGTCTTGTTCAATATTGTGCAAAGTTTATACCAAACCTTTCTTCGATTGCAGCGCCTTTACGTGCATTGACTAAGAAAAATTCTAAATTTGATTGGGATAAGCAATGTGAAAATTCATTCGAAAGATTGAAACGTTCATTAACTAATGCAAACACATTAGCTTATTTCAGATCTGACTGCAGGACAAGAATAATTGCAGATGCTTCACCGACAGGACTAGGATCCGCTTTAACCCAATTGCAAGACGGAATTTGGAGAGTAATTTCGTATGCTTCGAGGACAATGTCAGACGTAGAAAGACGATATAGCCAGACGGAAAAAGAAGCATTAGCTCTAGTGTGGGCATGTGAGAGATTTAACTTGTATATTTTTGGCAGGAAATTTGAACTTGAAACCGATCACAAACCTTTGGAATGCATATACTCTAAAACTTCAAAGCCCTCAGCAAGGATTGAACGATGGGTATTGCGATTGCAAGCGTATGACTTCAAGGTAATATACCGACCGGGTAAGAATAATATTGCTGATGTATTATCTCGTCTTAATGCGCCTGACCAGCGTGATACAACAGCGGAATATGATTTCTTCATACGAATGGTTGTACAAAGTAGTTGCCCGATTGCTTTGACGCCACATGAAATTGAGCAGGCATCTGCTAAAGACCCTGAATTGCAAATTGTGAGAGATTGCATTAAATCACAGAATTGGTCAAAGTGTGGTAATTCATTTTTGCATGTGAAGAATGAACTTTGTATTTATGGTCAATTAATTTTACGTGGTACGAGAATTGTAATTCCACAGATACTCAGAAAACGTGTTCTAGAGCTTGCACATGAAGGACACCAAGGAATTGTGAAGACGAAAAATCGACTTCGAAGTAAAGTGTGGTGGCCAAACATTGATCGTGATGCTGAACGAAAATGTAAAGTATGTCATGGATGTCAGGTAACAAGTTCGTATAGTCCGCCCGAACCAATGACGCGAACACGACCACCCAGTGGACCTTGGATAGATTGTTGTGCCGATGTTTTAGGACCTTTGCCTTCTGGTGATAACATACTGGTAATTGTAGATTACTACAGTCGTTTTTATGAAATTGTAATTGTGCGGTCGACAACAAGTAAGAAAATAATTGAAGCGTTGAGCACCATATTTTCACGTTACGGAATTCCACTTACGTTAAGAACTGACAATGCACCACAGCTTGTATCTAATGAATTCAAATCATTTTTAGACGAACATGGAGTTCAACATAAATCTACTACTCCATTGTGGCCACAAGCGAACGGCGAGGTGGAGAGACAAAACCGAAGTTTAATGAAAGCCATACGAATAGCCCAGGTAGAAGGTAAAGATTGGAAATCGGAATTAAACAAATTTCTACTTGCATACAGGTCTACACCGCATACAACGACAGGAGTATCGCCATATTATTTGATGTTTGGTCGAGAGATGAGAACAAAGCTTCCAGAAATCAGACCAAAATTATGAGCGTCCAAGGCGAGAACGAAAACTGCCTTCCAGATTTAAAGACTTTGTAATGAAATAAGTCTAGTTTACCATCTACTCGTAACAAAAGGAGGGATGTAGTGTTCATGGTCCGATGGTCATGAATTGCATGATTGATTTAGTCCTGCGCGATATAAATGCGCAAGGATACATGCCAAGGGGAGCAGAAGGACATTGACGGCGTGGCTGGTGCTGGTTCTATTGTATGGTGTTATTCGCTGTTTATTAAGTTGTATCAGTTACTTTTGTGCATACTGAATTGTAGCAGTAAAAGCCTCTTATTTTGTGTGCAAATATCGTGTGTTGCCTTGGGGAAAGCTTAGCAAGATAGATAACACGGAAGATAGAGGCGGGACACTACACAAATAGCTTATTTTCTACAATTCCAGCAAGCTCCGCGGAACACCAGTGTATCCCAATCGGCACGCTGAACTATATAATCACTCATCTACCCGATCCTTGTTGTAATATTCCGCCGACTGGAATAATTGAGAGAACGAGGATTTTATTTCGTCAACCAAAAACATAGTCACGGTAACAACAAAAATTCTCAGCTCACCTTATTCGCTATTGTGTATGGGGTTCACAGTTGAAGATGACTAGCTTAAACGTTCTCACTATTATAGGATAGGATTTACATATTTATCCCGGGGGAGAAAAGCCGATAAGACGGCTTAACCTTATGGCGAACCCCGGCCTCTCGCCCTGTTACCATTCCATGTCGGGTATGGGATTAGTTAATTATTTGTTTTCGGAAGCAAGGACTTTATGGTGGTGGAAGCCGCAACCGACCAGCGGTTAAGCGAACCACCCTAGGCTTAGCACGATGCGCAACATCGTCGAGCAATTTAATTGGCCACTAACAACCAACTCTTGGTGAAGTGATAGCACAAAGCAGTTGTGGAAAACTTAATTCCTATCAGCATAGGTTAAAAAGAGTCATCAGAAAAAGCGATGTTTTGAAGTATATACAAACAAGGAATGAAAAAGTGAGGAACCATGAGTGGTTCCCGTAACGATTCATCCGTTAATATTTCCCCTACTGACAATCACGATACATCGGAAACATTGTGAGCTGGTCAACGAAATTTCTATCTGGGTTGGTAAGTGGACGACGGCACGTATTCAGTCTTAAGCTTTTTTCTAGGCATCCCCTTCTTCCAGGACAAATATGAGAAAACTAGGAAACTATTCCACTTGATACGTTAGAATAAAGATAATTATTCAATCCCGTATCAAAGCGGTGATGATCGAAACTGGCGGCCAATTTCCATTGTTGCGTAACTTGGGTATATGCCTTATACGGGCTTTGATTTTTTCAACACGCTCTAGCGCTATAGTGATGACTCTCTTGTTTCAATCGACATTACAATTTTTGGACAAGAATATCGTTAAGAAGAACAATGCCAAGAAGAACAACATAATAGCAAAACGATACATATGTACATTTTGTGTCCAACAAATCGAGAGACTCAAATGTGTAAATGTTCGAACACAAGTAAAATGCATTTCATTCCTAAACCAGTACAATATATTGCACACGTACAGCAATCCGAGGAAAATTCATTGTAAATCAACAAACAACGAAGAGTGATAACACGATCCTTGTCCATGAATATCACAACATCAGGAACAAAAACAAGAGCAATTACAATTACTTTTTGATTATTCCTCTCTATTTTGTCTTCTTTTGTAATAATGTATAGTTATGATGTACGTTAAAAGCAAAGTGTTGAATTGTTAACTTGAAAAAAAAATAAATTAAAAAAAATGTACAAACAGATGATATCTGCATCTGCAGCATGTTAATATTATTGATAAGGTTTGGACCGTAATCGCCCATTTCATCAATAATTCTTCTAGGTTGTATAATATATTTCTTATATCTATTAATATCTGCATGATCTTGTTCAATTACTGAAGTTATTTGCAGGTCTCGATTTCCATAACTACACTGAGGTGGTTCGACAGGCAGTATAAGTTTACATAGGACAAAGTCAAATCAAACTACAATTTCAATGATTGCAACCACTATATATCCACGGAATATTTGCACAAAGCAAATAAACTTCTTGTGTGATTTGCGCTATTTGGTAAATACTGAATGCATTTGTCGTCCTCCTAGGCTACCCATTATTGTTTGACGGGATCTATCAAAACAGCAAACAGTAATTTTGACTGGATCAAAGTGAGTGAGTAAAAAGTAATTATTTGTTGTATAGGTTGAAGTTCGAAAAATAAAATTCACGCATTGCTGCAAACGTTATTATTTGACTGTCCGGGTTATTGAAAGAAAACAATTTAATTTCCATACTACCAAAGTCATATCAGTACGTCGTTTTGCTTAGTAGAGGGATAATCTTACAAAAATGCCAATTGCGGCAATGTCTTTTTTTATCAGAAGGGAGTATTGGATTGCTTACATGGCGCGAGTAGGAATACCAGTTTGCAAAATAATGAAATGGGTATTTGCAGAAAAAGATATTTTACAGATGCTTTTTCCTCTATAGCGTTTTAGAAGTTTTGAATGAGGAGGCAGTATTTGATTGGCGAGTAATTAGACACACTGTGATTCTATGTTCATTGTGTGATTTTTATATCTGACATTCAGAAGAAATAATTTGTGGGCAACTTTCCAATAATTTTGAAATAATCATATCAAAGAATATACCTTTCTCCCTAAAGTCGGTTATCTCACACTAAATATTCAATTGGATGGGGTGATTAAATTGGATTGGACTGTGATGCCATGAAACAATATGTTTTTATTTTATATAGTAATGGCTAACAATAGGAAAATGAATCTCTTGTTTGCTTTCAGGTCAAATAATTGTGTGAATTGCATAATCTTTGCTAATTATTGTCAAGTAGCCTACTTCTTGATACCTAAATACCATTTCCCAGCCAGATTCCTAACTAGTTTAAATATTGAAAACAGAGTTCACCGTTGTTTAATGTGTTATGTTATTACATCTGCACGGTACGTCATTTAAAGGACATAGTGTCAACATTGTACCAATATTGGAGATACAGTAGCTTAAATAGTGAATTTTTGCAGTGTTGCATTTTAAGTCATGGCATTTCAGGAACGAAATATAGTGATCCTATAAATTTGCTGACTGTATTTGATAAATGTTATAAATTGATTAGGTCGTGTAACAACAACTCGCCATGAAGATAATGTATTTTTATTTCAGGAAAAAAGTGAAAATGCTGGATTTCGAATATTTATTAGAAAGAGTTGGTACATTTGGCAAATACCAAATAATTGTATTTATATCACTGTGTTATTTTGGTATACCATCAGGCCTGAATGCGATCGCATCGGTGTTTTTGTCATATACACCAGAGTACAGGTGAGTGGTTGCATATCGAATAAAATTTAATATTTGGGTTTTTGTAAACAGAACAATTACAAAGTAAACACAAAAAGTCAATATCGAACTTTGCATTTATCTAGAAATATAATTCTGAATTACGGTAATACTTAAATTTCCTTTTTACCCTAAATAATTTTCTTTTTTCAAAACTTTTTAAATTTGCATGAACACAAACTGACTGAATTTTGGTAATTGACTAAAAACTACTCTAATATTAGCAGTAAATATATTGGTACAACTAATGAAAAGACTATTGTTTTTAGATGTCTTATGTACCCGTTCGACAACTCTTCTCTTTACCCAAATCTAACCAATGAAGAATTGTTTAATCTAACAACTCCACTCGACGACAAAAATGATCCAATTGATGCATGTCGAAGGTAAATTCGGATTATTTTATCATATTTAATTTAATTAGAAATGCTCAACGCCATGATGATTTTTTTTGTGTCTAAGCCATAGAAATATGTGACCACCGTGGCGATGAAAACAACATTTCAGTTCAAATTTTTTTTTCACGTGGAGGGTATTTGCAGAAGAACAAAGCGCAGGCCAAAATAATGTAATGCATGATCATAAACATAAACAAGGGGGCAATGCTTCAATATGAGACCACGGGGATCAAATGTGTCGAAGATCTCAACGGCGACTGAAGTTGGCGTATTTTCAACAATGACCATTTAATGTTCACGTGACGTCAATTTCTTTTGTTGATACATTTTCGCTGCCACATAACCATTAGCGTGCCGAATTTCGGATAAAATTATTATATTTTCAATGAGATCTCCGTCAAATTGTCCATATGGCGCCAAAATTTGAGAAAGCAATATTTATTTAGTACTCCCCATTTTTGTACTTGCTTGATATTATTAAAATATATACTTAAAATATGCCGAATTTAAGTCAAGAAAGGAGACAGGAAGCATCCAAAGTTATTCGATATTGCGGCATGTTGAGACGAAATGTCTCACGTCATGCCTATTTTCCATCCCATATTTGTATTTTTCAATATGTATTTTATTGAATTTGTTTGTTCAAAATCCAGCAACTTTGACAACTTAGGTTAAGTTAAGGGATAAAACTTGTCGCATGTACACCGGTACCTGGTAAAGCCTTACGTTCCTAGCTGAGCGTCGAGTTTGCTGAAAAGATCGTCGGACAGCTTGACAGGAATAGCAAAAATTCGGTGTGATATCGGGTCCCATAGGGATAATAAAATATTGCGAAAAAAAATATGAAATAAAAACTACTGTAATAGCTTTTAGGCGACTTTTGACTTCTTTAAGAACTGAAACGTTGGAATGGTTTGATCTACTACCCAGATAGCACAACTACGTTGGGCCAACGTTATAATCCGCCGGCAACCGTTGTACGCGGTTTTACAACCATTTACCATGGTAAGGCCATGATTGGCCTTCAACGAAACACGCCATTATGCGAAGAAATGGGCGCGCGATTCGAATATAGCACATGAGGTCGTCATTCATTTTGGCGGTACTCGTAATCGATATGCTGTTGCGAGGTTTTTGCCGTGGATGGGACAGTGAAATTGAACTTTTAATGCTTTCATAGTAGAATGGCGAAAGTAGAGATAGTTGTAACCGTGTAAGTTAATCTCATGGTACCGGTACCCTAAGTGCGTTGTCAGGTCACGGTTCATAAGGGTGATACGGTACCATACCGGTAAAAGTTACATATTTATCCCTGGACACCGTACCGTAGGTACCGGTAGCGACAGAACGTGATGAGGTACCGGTACGTTACCGTACTTGGTCTTTTGGCATTTTATGTTAAACTTTCTGAGGTTGCCATCTCTCATTTACCAGTATTCGTTATCGAGTACCGACCGGTATTCAGGTATTGGTCCTTCATCCCTGGATATGATTTTTTATATTTACTTTATTTGTCTAAGTGCAAACATTTCCGCAGCCCAAATCCAACCCGTTGGACGACTTAATCTAGTAATCTGAATAGTTGTACATTTGTGAACCTTCTGTCTGATGAATTTCAACAAATCTAAATACAGATCTCAATTGGCTGAAATCTAAAATATGTTTTAACAATTGCCACAATCAAACTGAAACTAAAATTTGATGTTTTCAGGTAAAAAATAGCTCAAGGATTATTGTTTTCCATTTTTGTTTTTGTAACACTTTGAATAAAATTTTGTTTCTAAAGTATAACTTTTTACGCCACACATGCGAGATGCGACATGGCCCGCCAGTCTAGGTGCGCAAAATTTTCGCACGCGGTCCGAGACTTTGCCCAACCCTGCTCTAGTTCATATTTTCAGCTTTGTTGAGAAATAAATTACTGATTTCTGAATAATATTTTGTTTTAAATTTCAATAGAATTATATTGGGTATATATTAATATGATTTATTTTCAGTATGTATGCTATGTAAGCTTACCCAACCAACCTTAATTAAGTGTTATTATATTTTAAAGTGAATTGGAAAGTAGACTGCTAGCAAAAAAGATTCGGGCGACTGGGCGAAGCCCATCTCTGTACAATGACTGCCAGATGTGCATGCAACTGTGCAATGCCCAGCGACTCTAAAAGCATGAAGTATTGTACGACACATCTTTCACAAATATTTGGACATATTTTGTGTAATATTCATTTTTTTCCGGTTATTCTTAATAATTATTACCGATTAGATATTCTGTCAAGTGTCAATATTACCATTGTAAGTTTAATGATATATACCCTTTTTATAATAGGCCCTATGACAATGGACTGGAAAATTCACCTGCTCCAATTCCCTCTTTCACGCAATCATACACTGTGTCTTTTCAAGCATCTCAATGTTTCAATGCGGACAATGCCCAAAACAGGTGTTTTTGTTTTATAGTTTGATAGTAGCTCCTTGCATATCTGTGCCATAAAATATTGCACAATAGCTAGATATATCGGTTGAATAATTACCTAGTACAACATCATGTGGTTAATACCGTATTTTCCGGCGAATAAGTCGCTTTTCTAGACTTTCTAGACTAGATTTTAGGGGGGTCGTCTTATTAGGCGAGTATGATCATTTTTATTTTTGTGTCGCCTTATTATTGAATCAAGACAATAAAATACCTTCGGGGGTTGCATCCCCCACGTCCTCATCAGGTTACTTTAAATAAATCGACATTCTCGCGCTGTGAATCTGGAATTTCAATGCTGTGATTATCATATTTGCATTATCATATATGGATTGAATATTACGCTACAAGAAAAAGTCATTTAGAGGCTATTTTAACCAATGCGCAAACGCGGCGACCGCTCGAAAGGCATTGAATGGAAATTAAGATTCCCGACATTGATGCGATTTCACTACCCCGACCCATTGGCCGGTTATATGCATAAACCCATTTTTTCAGGCTTAAAAACAGGCCTCGTCTTATTCGCCGGGTAGACTTATTCGCTGGAAAATACGGTAATTAATATTAATGAAAAATTTATATTCTGGTAATTGGTAAGTAGTATAGGCCATTCGTTCACGTTTATCATCTGAAAGACAATCATGTACTATACATTGGGTAACACTAACTTGATTTTCAGAGATCAAGCCATGCTCCAATCCAGTCCATGGAAAAATTGTTGGGATAGGCGGTAGAAACTCTTATGCTACAAGCTACGGCAACTGCAACTTTCCACTGATCATAGTGTGGACTCGGGCATACCGGAATTGATGAAATTCATTGTCTGATTACATTTTGTTCCAGAATACATTCAAGGATGAAGAAATGGCTCGTAAGTTGAATATTTTTATAAGCTGATTACGGACACTTTACGGCGGTGGTTCCCAAACTTTTTTTTCCGCGACCCCAATTTTTGTAAAATCACAGACTACAGATACTTGCGACCCCACAACGAGTAAACATTAAAAATCAATTTATTCTATTCTGAATATTCTATTTAATCATTCTGATGAAAATCGACTGTAAATTTGCGGGGCGTTGGTGTAACGTGGTTGTACTTAACTGTTTAGTTCAGTGGTTCCCTCCCTTTTTACCCCAGCGGCCAGCGGGCAAGCAAAATTAATTTAAAAGAGTTTGCTGACCGGTAACACATGCCATCGTATGGAGACCACGATGTAAAAATCTCTGAGATTCAGAATACTTGTTTAGTTTTAGTACAATGTTAAAATATTGCAGATTACTCCATAATTACTTCGAAAGCTAAACAGAACATGAAAGTAAAATAGGTGAAAATACCTTTGCTGGGTCTCATCTTATTGAGTGCCTTTTATTTTTTGTCGTTTTGTTTTTAACTGCATGACTGCGTGACTGCAAGTGCTTCGAAATTATGTATAAAATACAATTTCCCCCATATTTTCGCTTCGTGTTCAAGGAAGAATATTTAAATGTCTAAATACGATCCGATTGCAATATTAAAATTGTTCACTTTTATACGAATGCGATGTGGACAAAACACATATGTGTATATTTTAGAGTAGATACTCGCGATAATTAACATAGAGCTTTTGCAACGGATGGAAACCTTTTCATTAAATGTATTCTCATAATTGTGCTTATTTACTCATTTCAGATAAGATATTTGTCAAGTCTCGGAGGTTGCTCCAAGAAAGACTGGTTTGGAGTATCATGAGCTCGGTTATAACAAATTTACTCGCCCGCTCTTTCAACTGTGCAGGACGCGGTGGATAAGAAGGAGTGAGTGAGACGCCCTTAGTTTCCATATTGTACCATCATCTTTCTCTGCTCTACCCTCTTCTATTTTATAAGTATAAGATTATTTTGACTCCAAATCAGCTTAAGATAATTCATAAGGGAAATGAACAAAAATTGATTAAATAGAATCTGACAATCTGGAGTGAAAACAGAACCTTTATTAAGATTAAAGCGTAAAGAATATAAGGTTTTGCCAAAAAGATGCCTATCGTGTTCATGAATTAAATTAAGTTACACACACACAACAACAGCAGAGATATAATAAAATAAAAACAGGCGAGAAAATGTAGGTAAGTTGGGTAGTAAACAAAATGTACTTGCCAGTTGCCACACCATTCATTTTTATCATTATGATTGTCAAATTGAGTAATGATTTTGTAAACAACTGTGAACAGTATAGAAAAATATTTATTAAGGAGATATCGCCAAGCTGATTATGGTTAGAGTCAAGTGCCAAATTGCCAATCCAATGTTGCCAGAGTTTGGTGCATGATGGCGAACAGTGGTTTTCGAACTTATTTGTATCATCGCTCCCTTACAGTACTTTTAACATTATCATCCCCCCCCCCCCCCCTAGCACAACAGCGAATGATGAAGTTACAAATAAATTTATTGTAAATCAATTAAACAAATAGACTAATCATGGTGCATGATGTTTCTAATAAGATAGATGAATGTCAACAAGGAATATTTGAAGACATTTTAGTCAGATAAAATCTCAAATCATCATTATTCCCTTCAACAAATATTCCCCTCAAAACATTGTTTACGCCCCCCTTGCGGAATCAAGAATTTCTGTATTTCTCAATTATTATTGTCTTGCGACAATAATAATTTGCACATTTGCGACTGCAGAAACTTGGCTTAAGATTCCTACTCTGAAAATTTGTTGGGAAGCAGTCATTCTTGAACTCTGGTGCTGTAATTTGCTAATACTGCAATTTAACACAGAATTTTTATATTTTTCAGCTCTGGATGATCTGGCAACGAACTCCGATTAATTTTATTACATGTATACATATTTGTAAAATAAAGACATTTTGTTATCTTTTGTTTTTTATTATATAAATAAATAATGTTAGATTAGTGGGAAATTTCTATGTAGTATAGATCAATACCCTGTCTGTACAACACATCGCCTAACTTGGCCCGATCATATGCCACGATTGTATTACAACGTGTCAACTACGTAGGCCCGGCCATATGTCACGATTGTGTTTCAACGTATCGCCTACGTTGGCCCGACCGTTTGCCATGGTTGCATTACAGCGAATGGACCGACGTTGGCCCAGCGGCCAAATCTTCGCTGGAACATGGTTGTTCGCCATTATTGGGCCGGTGGTTCGAACAACGTTCGGCCATGGTTGTTCCGACGTAGTTGTGCTATCTGGGTAGTTTATGGAACTCGCGCGCAATATCGTGATCAAGTAATCCACAGCGACCCACCCATAGTTGTTGATTACACAAAAAAAAACAGTATTTTATCATACAGGTACGGATACGATTTAACAGAATGTTCTGGACCAAATGATTTTTCCTGTGTCAACAAAAGTGAGCCACTTGTGTCTTGTGACGAGTTCTATTATAATGATAGTCTTTTTGAGGAAACTACAGTAACAGAGGTATGCTTGTTCACGAAAAAATCCTTTTGTATAGTATTTCTTTATTCGAAGTTTGATTTAGATTTTTTTATACGTATTTAAATGACAGCAAGGTCATAATTTATCTCTCTCTTAAGATATTTTTATTTAGTTTGATCTTGTCTGCGATAGAAGATTTTTACATTCACTGTCAAGTTCGGCATACATGATTGGAATAATTGCTGGATCACTAATCTTTGGAAATATTTCCGACAGGTTAATCTTAATATTAATTAATGCAGAAATCGGATCTTTTTCCAACTTTAATACGTGTAATGGTTCCCGATATTGTTCTAAAAAACTAAGGTATATGCTCGTAATGAGACACGTTGCGACAAAAATAGGTTCTTCAAATTTCAGAATATAAAATAAATATTTTTAATCTAGATTCGGCAGAAAATTCACTATGATTCTCTCGTGTTATGGCATGCTCTTCTCGATGCTTGGTGTTGCCTTTTGTAATACGGTCGAACTCTTCTCATTTACCCGATTTCTCGTGGCAACATTTGTAGTGGGATGCAACGTTTCAATATTCTGCTATAGTATGAATATTTTATGTTTTTACCTCCAGCGCAGTTTTCATGGCAGTATCTATAGTTTATACACACTTAACAACACTATATAATATATATTATAGTTCAATGTAACACAGTGGTTTATTCGTAAAATATGCAATTTTAAATTGTGATAACATCGAATTCTTAGCCGATTTGGAAGTTGGAAACAAAAGAATACATTTTGTACACGACCACATCCACACCACATTCGTGCTTGTAGGAAACTAATATGAAGATAAGATAGTTCTAAATAAGCTTCATGCGTACTTCACCACTTTACAGTTATGGAAATGGTCGGAATCAAGTGGCGAACACTCGTTGGAATATCCTATCAAATGGCATTTGCAATTGGCTACATGTTATGGTCTGGGATTGCATATCTTTATCGAGATTGGAAACAAATGGAGGTTTGAAAACTTTATGCTTGAGATAATTTTTTTGATGTTATGTCTTGGCTCATTGATGAAGCAAAAATATTCAGCAGTCTCTTAACTACTTTATAATTCATTAAACCATATTCGCATGATTTTTCTTCCACGAAGTGCAACCTCTTTGTTTATATAAATATATTATTATTTACGTTTACTTTTAGCTGGGAGCTTTAGTTATGAGTGCACCGTTTGCAATCATCGTTTTGATTGTACCAGAGTCTGGTAGATGGCTTTTCACAGCAGGAAAAGAGAAAAAGGGGGAAAAGGTTCGTCATTGAAATGGTTTAAAAGATGTTATACATTAGTAAAAAAAAAAGCCGAGGCATTACCGTTATACTATTCCAAATGATATATTAGTACATCAACAGCCTATCAATAGTTTCAGAAGAAGGTTACGGACTTGGGGTAAAGAGTGCTTTCTAATTCAAATCGCAAATAGTTAAAAAAATTTCTCCACAAAAACGGTTATGTTAAAAGAAATACAACAACAACAACAAAAAAAATATTAAATGCAAGAAATATCAGGATAAAACGATAAAAAAACTTCTGTATAAAGCTTTTGGATTCTCGCATGGTTTATTGAGTTCAATCAGACTTTAGAGTGCTTGGAACGACTGGATTCATTATTGAACTTTAAGACATATTTGCAACATTTGGCTATGGAGTAAGTTATCCTTGAACATGTTGAATGAAATTATGGACCTCGATGATTTATTTTTAAAATTCCGATATTTAAAGTTAATTCAAATTTTATGCCCCGCCAATGTGTTCTTTCGTTTCAACAGTTGAATTTTTCTATGTCACACTAATTCCATTATATTCACGCGCATGGCAACGATTAATTAAATCTTGTTTTACAAGAATGTGATAGATCATTTTGAGATTTGTAAATACAATTTTCATGTGAATTGTTGCAGGTTGTCACTATTATGGCAAGATTGAACAAAGTTAAATTGGACGAAAATATTTGGAGTGAAGCTGAAAAATCCGCCCAACTGAGAGAGGTACGTTCCTAATTTTTACAGTAACTTCCGCATTCGTAAGTATTAGTTAGCATAAAATGGAAAGTAATTTAATCCAACAAATAGACTAAACATATCTAACAAGTCTCTTCAGAAACCTTTTGAAATTTGTACTTTTGAGGTTTCATAACAAATGCGCTCTTGCAGAAATGTTACAACTACGTTATATCGTGATCGTGAACCAAATCAATGATAGCTATAAGTCAAGCACAGCTCTTTATCGCAAATTTTGTAAAAGTGTTATTATTTGCTTATTTCTCCGGCTAAAGTGATCTGAGACGAAATGATGCAGAGTAGAATGTGTCAAAAAACATATCGGCCGCCTTTACATTTTTGTATTCATATAAAAACACCACACCGACAATATTTGTTAACATTGAAACATTAATTCAATTTCGAAAAAGTACACTAAGTGTACCTAATGTGTGAAATTGTATTTGAACAAATATCTTACCTGTCTGAGGCAGAGATAAGTTATCAGAAAGAGTATATTTAGAGTATAATGAAAATTCTGATAATTCAACTAAAAGACACGACGTATAGAAGAAATGTTTTCCGTTACAGAATGGCGAAACTGATGACAGGAGTTACTCGACGATAGATTTGTTTAAACATTCCAAATTGAGATTAGTTACGCTGAACGTTGGATTTAACTGGTAAGAAATCTAACATTCCAGTAATGTTATTTCAATTCCAGTTAGGCTTACCATATATTTGAAACAAAAAACGGTGTGTATTTGACAAGCCAACCTTGGTTTTTAACCCTTTCCATACCATTGCCGGTGGAGGCCGGGCATCAAAATCAGCTGTAAATCCTATTAAAATATCATCTATTGGTCTTCGATTCAAATAATGAAAATTCAACTCTTCAACTCATTAGAAAACTTGCACTTTGTGTGCTGCATTTTGATGATATAACTACAGTACAGTTGGTACATTGTTATATAAAGCATGGTTCGTACTTCATATCATAACTATGACATACCAATTTCTTTCTCTCTCTTTTCACTAAATTTATCATTTTTTTCAAAACAAATGATTTTGTCTTCAGGGCAGTGAACAGCATGGTGTATTACGGAGTTTCGTTGAACGCTGGAGCTCTGGCAGGAGACATATTTCTCAATAATATATACGGTGATTTATTTCGCACAGAACTTGTATCTATTGAAAACACAAACGAAAACGAACAAACTAACGAAATATATGATCGATATAAGATTTTAACAAAAGATTATGGAAAACATACATTATTATAATGAAACCCTTTTTATGGCATCTCAATTACCATATTGGCCTACATTGAATAGTTTTTCAGATTGATTTTGGTCTTCATTTATGTTTCAGCTGGAATGTTAGAAATTGCAAGCTATGTTGTATGTGTCTGTACCATGGATTTTATTGGGCGTCGTCTTCTGCTGACAATTACATTAACTGGAGCAGGAGTGGCTTTATTAGTCAGTACAATTGTCAATGCATTTGCAGATGGAAATGAAAGTAATTTTTATGCATTATTGTAGTAATTGATTAGTTTGTTCAGATAATTTGCTCTCGAGCAAAACGTACCTTATATAACTACATACTACGTCGCATTCTAGAGGCACTGAGGGAAATTAAAATCATTTTTTTGCTATGTATATTTTATTCATTCTCCCAGGCCTTATAATGGTGGGTGTTGTGTTTGCCTTCATTGGAAGATCCCTTGTGTCAGGATCCTATGCTATCATTTATAATTTCACGGGAGAGTTGTTTCCCACCGTAATCAGGTGATTATTTGAATATTCTATTATATAAAATAAATTTGACATTGCAGAAAGCTCACATTCTTGATATGTAAGTAAGTATAGGACCCACACTGAAAATGTATTGCAACAGTATTCTGTATTTTCGTATTTTATTGTGGCCTGAATCAGTTAAGCATCGACATAAGGTTTGAAACAAAGTCTCCACACTAACTAACATATAATAGAACTAGAACTCAATATATATATATATATTTCTCCACTTGGTATTAAGAATAAGTACTAAACGAGTGCAACAAAAACTTATATATGATTCCGCCACATGCAGGAGCAACGCTATAGGATTTGGTGCAATGTGCGCCAGGATCGGAAGCGTTTTGTCACCTTTTGTCATCGGTCTTCAAGATTATGTGTCGTGGTTACCGAATACCATATTCGGGGCGGTGGCAGTGATTGGCGGTCTCTTGTCTCTGACTTTCCGCGACACTACAGGCAAACCGATGATGGAAACTATTGAAGAAGCAGAATTGTTTCACTCGGGAAAGGACCTATCAAGGCGGGTGGCGATTTTAAATTTCATTCGACAGTATTATTGATATACGTCGCACGGTCACATATCTTTCATTTTATTGAATGTTCAAATATCGACGCCAGTAACTATACCAGAATGTCGAGTTCTAATAAAGTTATATAATTATTTAATTACGCTACTAATCGTCCATAATACTCTTACATTTTGCTCGCCCCCATATTCGTTAGATGTTAATATAAGTTATATATACAATAAGCTAACATATAAAACAATACATTTTTTCGTTTCAGGATAGAGAAAATAAACGAAAGATACGACGATGAAGGAACTATTGTTGTGGATGAAGACAAAGGCAAGGCATCTACTCAATTTTAGTTCCGCCAATGAAAGATATGCATAACTAATGTCATTTTGGATTTTATCATTGGAATTATATGTTAAACTATACTGCGTTTTGATCTCTTCGGTTCAGCATACGGCTTACCCAATTTACTACGTATTACAATTAATGTTGAAGCTGAAATTATGAATAAACGACTTCAACATTGTTGGGCCCATTTGCTCATACCTGCATGCCATAGTGCCACTGGATGCGTCATAAAACCACAACAGATTTTACGTAATTTTAGAAAATAGGTCCAACTTCACACAGGAAAACATTAAATAACACACAGCCTCGAGCGTATAATATTCAGTTTGTTTGATTACATTCATTAGTGTGACATATGGATATGAAAATTATAGTTAGATACAGTATAAGTTCGTCGAAATAAACGTGGTTTACAAAAAGAAAATATCGTAAAGAATTTCACGGTTGCAAATAATTGAAAAGAATAGGACTTGCAGTTGAAGATCATTGTATTTCAATTCAAATTTTTGTAATACAAGATTAACACAACTGAAGCAGAGGTGAAATTACAGAAAGCTTTGTATTTTTACTTCGTTTTTTTATGCTGTGTTAGACCCAATCCAAGTGTCGCTGCTCGATAACCAGTACTGGTTTACAGCGTCTCCATCCACTCTGTAAATACTATCCTTACCTTATACTGATCGTATTTGTAAGTTACGTATTTTCAGTATTAGTGGAAAAATAAATTACTGAAAGATCAGGAAATCGGCTTATGTAGGAAAATCCTTAAATAGGATTGATGGAAGCAAAATTTTTGATAGGAATTTGGTTTAATAGCGGTACTCAATATCGTGAATAGATAACAAATATTCCATAGTTTCAGCTGATTTTGTTTAGTCGCAGTACTAAATAAATAGTGAATGGGTGCTCCCGAAGTATGCGAACCAAGATGGCGGACATCGGAACGTAACATGGGTAACAGGTTAGGGTTAGGCGATAATTTTTTTACAATTTTCCTTATTTTAGTCCTATTATCAGTTCGAAAGCTAGCCAAGAGCCTCCCGTAGTATTTATAGCTAAAATTATGGCCTAACCCTAACCTAGTACACATATTACATTCCGATGTCCGCCATCTTGGTTCGCATACTTCGGGAGCCCCGGTGAATGGATATCCAGTAATTTACGAGAGCTAGTTGCAAACAAACGTTATAGCAGAAGAGGGCGTACTATCACTTTACGATAAAATTCTCAATAATTTACAAAAAACACTAACGATTTGCCTCGGTTCAAAATTCGGCAACCTCATTTGTAAGCATATAGCATATATAATTGGTAAATGAATATGATGTTACAATATATTGCTATTTCGAAGACAGTCTCAGAACTGCCAGTCGCCCGTTCACCCTTCAGCTTCAATGCCCACGTTAATGAAGAAACTTTAGAAAACTCTGTTTGTTGGACACGTTTAGTGGCCATAACGATCGTTTCAAAATTTTGTTGTTGTTATTTTCTTTCGTCATTATTATCATTAAAAAATCGCTTTTCTCTTCGAATACTGGACCAATTGCTTTGGAATTTTCAGTGGTTCAAGATTGATTTTTTTACCAGAAGGCTATTACTTTCATTTATTCCTGAATTATCTATGAATCTTATAAGATCTAATATTTCATCCAAAATTGCGCTGTATTAATTTTTAATTATGGGAACACGGTTTTTAATACGCCAAGCGTGACGGCTGACTGTGAAAATTCTTGCGACTGAAAACCCGGAACTTTTTGAGGGTACGGTACCGGTAACGTCAAAGGTAAACCCTGCTTCGCTCTAGTCCACATATTTGAGCGTTGCTCTCTTGTTTTTATTCTCAGATTTCCACGATACACAGAATATAAATCTTATAACATTTATCCAGACTAGCTTTTTCTTGAAAGATATCGAGTCGTATTTATACGTCGATCATAAATCTAATTAAATACTGTAAACGTGAGCTCGTGATTCACGTTATAAACAGAAACTCTTATTATCTCAATAAGGGAGACTATGTACATTGTACGGATGGGAACTTAGATATAATTATTTCAATCAGTGCCAAAGGTCTTGAGAATATAAATTTTAATTTGATAATGACTGGGTAGAACATGTTATGTTCTTAAAACTGGTGTAATTTGATTCCTACGAAAGTCTTTGTTCGAATTTGGGGAAAAATTAACTTTGTTTTGATGATTCCAACATGAAATGGGGTACATTTGGGGTTAGTTGCTATAAGCACTTGATTTGTTTTCAAACTTTGTTGAGCCCGACCCAGATTTGACTTTTATGAACATTTCACCACCCAATCGAGAAAAGAATATTTTTGTTGTTATCACTGTGCTATTTTTCAGATTTGTATCAACTAGACAAGACAATCAATAACTGAACACAGTACTTTGAATCAACGATTTATTATAAACAAAATATTTATTAGGTGTGATAGATGAAACTGAAATTGCTCAAACATAGTATTTTCAATAAACGGCTCCATTTTAATCAGCGCAATGCTTAAATCGTCATCAGGATCGAAGCGATTTCGATTTTTTTAATAACTGTCAGTGCTGAAACTAACATGTTTTCTGGACCTCCAGCCGATATATAGGATTCCAGATTGTGCAGGCCTTTAGCGTCTGTTTCCACAGGATTTCCGAAAAGCTAAGTGATTCAGAAGCGAGAACCATAGCCATATATATATGGGCGCTGTTGCGACGTCATCGATTTTGCTTAGTAAAGTTGGCCCACTCACCCACTCCTACGTGATAACGAATCCCGGCAATTAAAACTCTCGGAAACCACTTGTGATGCAATAATCCAGTTATTTTGAGGCAAAGTCGTGGTAATTCAGTAGTGTGAATAATTTTTGTTTACTTTAGGCTTTTACTTTAACGAAACAACTTCCAAGTTGTAGTAACGTTTTGATAAATTTAAACTGATTTCCTCGTAAAACAGAATTTTTTGTAGAATCTTGTTACGATACAAATGAATATTTTGATCAAACTTTTTTTTGGTATTTGTAGATTGACCTACTGATTTGTTTTAATTAAAGATTGAAATGAAAAGCTATTTTATAATTATTGTGATTATCTTTATCTCTTCATCTCTCTGTCAAGATGTAGTACTTCAGTGTTCCGCTAAACCCGGTTGCCGGTTTGTGCAATGTGATCCAACTCCTCTGCGCTGGGATCAACCTGGTATTAGCATTGAAAACCATCTAAGAAGAAACGAATTCCCAATAACTTGCAGAACTCAGAAAGCAGCACAATTTCAAAGTAACGCAAACCTATTGCCGCTCATCACTGGTAACATACAAGGTAAGGGGAATTTTGGATTTTTTTTTTCAATTTGAACGGTCGGAAATTCGTCAGGAGTTAGGTCTGTTTGGTATCGGGGGCGCCTTCAAAATATTTCTGTCCATCTGACCATCATCATCACTGAGATTCTTCTTTGTTTTGAAAATAAACAATATATATTTAGAGTAGGCAAACATTAGCCGATAAGGGGATAATTCACTATGTTTCAAGTTCCCTTGTTCCGTGTACATGTAGGTGGTGGGCTATTGTCGCTTTTATAAGTAACACAAAGTAGTTATTGAGACATTATGTTGGTACTAAATTATACATGTGTGATTCCTTGAATTGAAGATCCATTATTATTTGAAAGGACCGAAATATTTTCGATTCGACATTGCCCGCTCAATTTATTACACTCTGGGGGAAGACATGGAATTTGAAAACTGAGATGTGTAATCTGCGATGCAAACATAGTTATATATATATCATAAATCTAGCGCATTAGCGAAAAAATCAACAGATTATTGTTGAGATTATTGTTGAAGTATATGAATGTATCTCAAGGACATATATATATATATTGTGATATCAAGTGATGCAATCGCCTGTGTTCCTTATCTAGATATCCGAAGTATAAATTCAGACTTGAATGAAATCGAAAGAAAAGTTGATGGAAATGCAGTTAAAATAAAAGGTGATTCGTTCATATTTGAAGTAGCTAGCAAGCAATGGTGAGGGTTATTCGGCAGTTGAGCCATAAATTTTGCGGACATTGTACTTAAAAAAACAGTTTGGTAGATTGGCCAGTTCGTTTTATGATGGTCGAGCTGGTAGGCATAACTACCAAAATCGACCAGATCTTTTAGGGTACGCGATTCCAATTTACTTAGTCCTGGTGATCCTACTACTGAGCCAACGCGCCAATGCTCGCAGGATTTGTAAGTAACAGGCCATTTAAATTTGACTGGGGGCGTAAATCTATCCATTCTCCCAGTCTACTGTGTTTTACTTCACAACTAACCTGCGGCTCTCAGACCTGCGAGTAGTGCTACGCAGTGCAGGTGGGCAAGTTGTTCAATAATATAAAATATGGTTGTCAAACATAATAGTCTCAGATTTTCTAGTTGCGCTTTAATATTTCATGTTTTAACAGAAATTGCGAGTTCCGACAAAAAATCGAAGTCACAGATTAACGGAATCACCGAAAATAGCCAAAAAATCCAACAACAATCTTTCGAAATAAGTGAACTTCGTGAGGCTAACAACAAACAAAAATTGGAAATCAGTACACTTTCATCTAAATTAAGTCATCTTCATAAAACGAACAGCGATCAGAAATTAGAATTAGGTGAACTCCGTGAAACTAACAAAAAACAATCGTCAGAAATTAGTGCACTAGGTAAAGAAAATAGTAAACGTTCCTCTGAGATCAACGCATTGATAAAGGGTGAGTAAGAATTAGTTCAAAATAAAATAAAAGAAAGAAACAAGGCTTTAGATAATTTTCATTATATTTTGTGTTACTCTCATTTGACAAAGAAGTTAAATAGGATAATGCAATTTACAAAACAGCCGCATGAACAATTTAGTATGACTGTGTTTACCAATAAATTACCAATATTCATCATTAAAATATTTTCTTCTTTCATGTCGGTATTCATTTGACTTGAGGTCCGTATATTTGAGCAATTCATCTCTTACTAATTGTTTTACTTTCTTACTTAGAAATGGCCTCGTTGGAACGAAAAGTTGCGGATATCAATTCAAAGTGCTGCAATAGCGCATCTAGCAGCAGCCATGCAAGCGGTTCGAGTGGTTTTCGTGTTGTTGGTGCTGCAAGTAGCACAAGCAGTGCAGGAGGTATAGTTCGTACAGTTACAAGTGTTTCACGTGGTACAAGCGGTCGTGCGAGCAGTACAAGAAGAATGTTGTGAGGCGATAAAGTCTTCATACTCAACCTAAATATGACCTTTATGCTTAACTAAACTATCAATTCTTTCGAACAAAACCCTTTCGCAACTACAGACCAAACTCGATGTCAGATTGAGAGAGCTTCGTAGTTCTATACCCTATACTTTTTATCGGAATAACCCAACAGGATTTAAAATGTGTATGTAGTCCGATCTGAAATTTTTGCATTTGACTTATTGTTTCCGAGTCCTTATTAAAACAAGAAAGCCGCGGACAAATAAATACAAGAACACTATGAACAAGAGACAGGCTACGGTCATGTAAATATGTAAATTCATTTCATATTCTTTTAAACCGGGATAAAAATATGGAAATGCCTGTTATTGGGCGTGTCGTTGTGTGAGATCTCGATAAAATAATTCGACAATTTCCTGTGGTAGTGGGATTTTTCTCGAAAACCAGTAAATTTCGGGTCAAGCAATAAGCTTCAGAGACTGCAAAAAAAATAAAAGAAAATGATAAAAGTAATAGATTTTCATGAATATCCATCCATTATTAAAGATAAAATTCAAGACCAATTGATGTTGTCCTCAAAGAAAAAGCAATTTTGTCCAATAATAATACGAATAACGAAATATATCGTAAAAGCAACAAGTCATAGAAGTCGAGTCAGTCACTGAGTTAAGGCTCAATGGCGGTTAGTCATTTCATTTAGGTGGCCTGGTATTGAAAGGCGATTGCAACTCGAGTCGGGTCAACGACTTGTGTCTAGATGAATTAAATATTTACCGCATAAAAACTAGGATTTCAAGATTCTGAAATTTGGAAAAATAAAAGATTGGTTATATCGAGTTGGAACGTGAGATTTTGCCAAAATCTTCAGATGCTGGTATCATGGATGACAATGGGCTGGTCATATTTTCAACCGATGTGTTTGATTCGAATCAAGCAAACTTTACAATAAAAACATCAACGAAAAAGGAAAAAGTAAAAGAAAATGCTGTGAAATGATGTACAACATCAGAAAAGTAAATATAATATGACGATATTGTCCAATCAATGAGAATAGTTGAACAGCTCAGTCTGGGAATATTACATTTGGTCAATGGGTTATCTCAAATCACGTACCAAATAGGCACACAAACCTAGCCAAGCATTGCATGTTATACTGCTTTCAATATGAATCACTTTTTCCCATGAGCATTTGTGATTGTGAAAATATATGAAATCAAAGGTATATTAGTAGGAATTTTCCTTTGAAATTCGCAATGAGGATAATTGAGGCTGAGAACAAATCAAAAGATCCACCAAAATATTAAAAACATTTATTGATCAAAACTCATCAGGCAGCCACTGGAGAGCTGGCAAGGTCTAATAGTGAAGAGGCCAAATCTTTTTGTCGATGATGGTTTCGAACGGCCGAGCTGGTAACAGCCGTGTAAAACACTGTTTCCCAACGTACTTGTCGTGACTCGATGGGGTCACCTGAAAGTCCCCTTGCGTCGCTTGTGTTTTTTAACAAAAAGAAAAAAGTGAAAATTAATTGCTTTGTTCAAGTAATTTAATTTTGCTGCTTTTAAATCACAACTTGTCGTTCAGTATTTGATCATATCCCTGGGTGTTTTATTCAAATCTGGGTCACTTGAAAAAAAAATCGAAAATCACTGCTATAAATTATGCAATACATTCCGAGTCATTACTGGCAGTAAAACATAGTAAACGTTCATCGGTCACGGATAAAATAGAAAATTTGTTTTAGTTATAACTACTGTAAAATTCCTGTAACTTTGACTCACTTTTTTGACAACAACTTTGGCAAAGTTACCATTAATCTCTTCTGTTTTACGATATGCAATACGACTTTACATTTTGACAAGCAGACATATTATATACAGTAGTGAGCTATATACAGTAGAGGGCTTGAATATTTGATTGCCTTTTCGTTTCTGTTCTTGATATAATATGAAATTGTCATGTAAAGTTTAGTTTTTTTGGTAAACTTAGTTTTTAACTATACGTTTTGTTACATCCTAATTATTTTTACATCGTAGCATACGAATAACAAGAGAGCTATGCTCAAATATAGGCCCACGTGGGAAACGAAATATTTTATCATCAATTAACCAAAAATCAAAGGGGATGAACGACGCAGAACAGTGAAACAGTTACATGGCTACGATACGGTGACTTACCCAGCACGACACAAGCTTCCACATCAAAAGACATTTATTATAACAGTGAGTGCAAGCCCAGCATTTTTGGGCCCGGTACACGGATTTTCAAGGTCCTGTGACGATTCCGTTTCAACGCGAATTGAAATACAACTTATTCAATTTACTACGATATTATAACAGCAGATACCACAGTCCACAAATATATTGACACTAAGCGAAGAAGTACCTTCATATCGGCAAACAGGCATCGCGCAAAAAACTAAAAAAAACGCAATCTAAAAACGTCACAAATGAATTCCATTAGGAAAAAATAATCCGATTTAACGGAAAAAAATTTACTACGGTAGCATTCGAGAGTTAATCTCATAGGATTCATAGAAAATTTAGGAAGAAATTAAAGTAATAGCCTTCTGGCAAAAAAAAATCAATCGCCAACCACTGCAAATTTCAAAGACAAGACTGCACGTAAGACAAAACGAAATATTTTATCATCAATTCGCCAAAAACCATAGGGTATCCTGAACAAAGCTGAACAGTGAAACAGTTACTGGGCTACGAAACCAACACAGCACAAAAAATCCGCAATTTTGGACACATGACGTGCAAGACGCTCCTCGTTTGTGAAACAGATAGACCGGTACACGGATTTTCAAGGTCCTGTGACGATTACGTTTTAACGTAAATTGAAATACCAACTGATTCAATTTACTACGGTATCATAACAGCACAGTCTACAAATATATTGACGCCAAGCATAGAAGTACTCACAGCAGTAGTTTACCACACCTTTAGCATTACCGGTAACCTCAAAAAACTTCCGAGTTTCGAGTAACAACAATTTGTAGAATAAGCCGTCACGCTTGGCAGATTAAAAACCGTGTTCTATATTTAACAATTAATACAGCGAAATTCTGGAAGAAATATTAGATCTCATGGGATTCATGGAAAATTTAGGAAGAAATAAAAGTAATAGCCTTCAGAAAAATAATCAATCTTCACCCACTAAAAATTTCAAAGCAATTGGTCCAGTATTCGAAGAGAAAAGCGATTTTATAATGACGAAAAAGACAAACAAGAAAAAACAACATAATATTGAAACGATCGTTATGTCCACTAACGTGTCCAACAAGAACAACAACATAATATCAAAACGATTCATAGGTCCACTACGTGCCCAATAACATAAACAACAACAAAAATGCCAAAACTATCCACAGGTCCACTACGTGTCCAAGTATTAAAAGTTCACTAGATGTTTCCCCGACCTTTGACCCCCAGGAAAAAAAATTTCATACCTTCCCAATAATAATATTTGTATTGAATTGCTCTAAATATACTTACACAGACATATTATAGTTGTTTTTCATCATATTTTAATGTATCTCTTCGGCTCCTTTTAGGACCGGCAATTTCTGTAAGCGTCCGCGGATGTGTTGAGAATATATATAATAGATTTTAACAAATTAGATGCGTTCCGGTTGTTACGATTTTTCTAACTCATCACTGCATACATGTATATATGAAGTTACTGCTTTTGGATATCTTTGGTTCGCGTCCCCCAATTTATTACGTATGACAACTAGGTTTGAAGCTGAAGTTTTAAATAAACGACTCCCACATTGTTGGTCCGACATACCTACATGCCATAGTGCCACTGTATGCGCCATGTAACAACAACAAATTTTACGTAATTTCCAAAATAGGTCCAACTTCACACAGAAAAATATTGAATAACACACCACACCTACATGCCATAGTGCCACTGTATGCGCCATGTAACAACAACAAATTTTTTAAGTAATTTCCAAAATAGGTCCAACTTCACACAGAAAAATATTGAATAACACACAGCCTCGAACGTTTAATATTCATTTTGTTAGATGACATTTGTTAGTGTGACATATGGATATAAAAATAATAGTTCGTCGAAGTAAACATTGTTTACAGAAAGAAAATATATTGAAGAATTTCTCAGATTTGCGAATAGATGGAAAGAATAGGGCTTGCAGTTGACGAACATTGAATTTTAATTCGAATTTTCGCAATACAAGTTTGACACGACTGAAGTAGAGGTGAAATTACAGAAAATAGCTAAAATACAAAATCGATCAGAAAGAGCCCTTTGTTTATGTAACTTTAGGTAAAGCAACGTTACCTAACCCCTCTAATAGTATGTAGATGTACGGAAAAATGTCTATAATAAACAACAATCCCACAGGAGTTGTATGTGGACTTGTTAGTGTATGTAACTTATCATTACTTGAAAAATCAGTAAATCAGCCGTATAGTGAAAATCCTTCAATGGAGGGTTAATGGGAGGTTTTTTCATAGTAATTTGGTTTAGTAGTGGTTCCCAATACAGTGGATAGATAACAAATATACCCTAATTTTAGCATGCTGATTTTGTTAAGTCGCAGCTAGGATGTAAGTTTCAGAATTTCGAATCGAAGCGATTCGAATCAAGATCAATTCGAATCGATTCGAAGCAATTTAAGAAAAAGGGCTTGATTCTATTTGAAAAAAAAAAAAATTAATAGATACCACAAGGCAATTGCACGACACAGCGGCGCTGCTTTTATATCGACCAAAGGCGTTTATTATTCTTACGTTTACAGCTTTCCAAAGCCTTGACACTCCCAGAGTCGTTATGTTTCATATTGGTAGCAGCTTTCGATGGACCAAAGGTTTCGCTCAATTTTGTTCGACTACTTAAAATGTTACAAAGTTTCACAAATATTTTAAACGTTTCTTCAAATTGTCTACATAATATTTTCATAGTAAAACACCATTGCTTCATCCCTTTCAAAAACATGTCTGTGATGCTTCTCTCGTTATCATTGCGTCTTTTAAAGTCATGGCGCATACGGTACTAACTAGTGATTATCATTTGGATGAATTTTGAAGGTCAGTTTTAGAAGAAACAATCGCTACACACCCTGTATTATTTGCAAACATAATTGTATGTGAGTAAATATGTAACTGAGTATACCTTTATAAAACAAAAAATAAATCTCAG